AATTTTAAAATAATAATAGCTTTTATTATGGGGTAAAAATAAGAGCGTTGATTACTTAAGTCTTATATTCTCACACCTTAAAAAATGTTATTATTTTTGAAATATAGAAATTGAATTATGTTTTCATATTTATTTTTAAGCATTTCTACTAAGTTGACGTCTTCTTGAATTTAATCACATTTTTGTGGAGTTTATATCGATGGAAGTAGGTCAGGGGAAAATCCGGCCATGTTAATTCTAAAAGCAAACAAACAGGTGTTTATTTTAACACGCTCGGCTAAAGGATCTTTAGTATATACAGTGGGCATTTAGTGAATTGTATAAAAAACAACTAAAGTTGAAATAACTTTAAATAGATGATTATAATATACATAGTGGCATGATGAGATTTGTTAAGCGCTGACAGGATGGCAACACTAATACGGGAAGAGAGAGAATGGAGTTTAAGTAGTCAAAGAATTTTTAAAGAATTTTTTAAAGTTGTAAAGTGAATTCAATTAACATAATGATTATCAAAACTATTTAACTTTAAATTCAATTAAAAATATGAATTTATTGATTTGTATAGGCAAGATTTTATTCGATTTCTTGTACTGTATTGGAGATTGGAGCTCGCTTTAAGCAAAAAAAAATATCACATATATAAATGTGAATATAAGATATGCAAATATTTTTCTATTCTTTATTGTGATTCAGCTGGCAATTTAAATATAATATACTGTAAATATAATATAGCGCGTGTTCACTGTATCCATATACAATATAGATTTTTTATATTGTTGACAACGCGTGCGAATTTCTATTGTTGCTGTTGTTATTTTGGGTAAGCCCAAGTTGTAGTTGTTTACTGCTAATGAGTGTTGTTTGCTGGTTGTTTGTTGTTGCCTTTTAATGTCCGTTAACAGCTGTTAAAAGCGTTGTTTACTGCCGATTGTTAGGGTTTATTTGCCTGTTTCTTATTGCGCGAAAAAAGACAACATTTTTCTTTTCGTTGGGCACGCCCAATTAGCGGACAATCGCACACACACACACACACCATACATATATTTATAGACAGATCTATCTAACAAAATTCATTGGCAACAAACTTCCATTGTGCAACACAGTTGCTGCAGCCGCAACGGCAGCAGCAACAGCAACAGCAACAGCAGCTGCTGCTGAAAAGTGGTTGCATGCTGCTGACAGCCATTTCCAGGCATTGTTTCGTTGTTGTTATGAAACATTAGCAGCAACAACAACAACGACTACAACAAACAGGCACCAACTAACCAACATCGCTTAAACGGCAAATTAATCGCAGCCCCCAGCTGCAGCAGCAGCAACAACAACAACAACGACAACAGCAGCAGCAACAACAGACATCGTGAGGCACTTTTCTTCATTTTACTTTCGTTTTTTCGTTGCTACTTCTATTAAATGCAACGTGCCACACAAAGTTGTATGCAATTTAATGTTGCTAGCGGGAGGCTGTTGCATAGGAAGGGGGCGTGCCTGACCTCTGGCATGATTCGAAAAGCGAAAGGTAGACTCTTTTGTTGAGTCTTTGCCTCAAGTTCAGTACGAAATGATGATTAAACATAATATGAAATATTAGAGGATGAGGTGAGAGTGTGAGGGAGAGAGAGAGAGTTGGTAGAGATTAAATGGGGCATCTCTCCAGCTCTTCAAATTACAGTAAAGTTGCCTAAGACTCAATTTAACTTAACGCCACAATGTACTATCCCTATCATAACCAACTTTCTACATATAACTGAAAATCTGAAAAGGAATATAATAGTCCATATTTCGGAAACTTTAACAGCTATAAACTTTAAGCTATATCTATGGTATTCAAATTGAGTTGTCTCTAATCTCCCTTAAAGCCTTCATTTCAATCCCATTCACTTTTAGTCAGACTTTATACTTCTCTGATCTTTAAAATCTTCTCAACACATCCCCTCAAATAAATGTGCCCCATCCAATTTAATGACACCACAAAAAAAAA